CCACCCAGGGCCGGACTAAGGGGTGGGCTAGCTGGGCAGCTGCCCAGGGCACCAACCTACAGGGGGCACCCAGGGCGGGGACTGTGTTAACCCCTGCAGCACTGGCCAGCAGCTCCCTTCCTCCTGTGGCCACAGGGCCCTGCATGGCCAGTCACAGCCCACGCCAGGTGGCCCCAGGCTGTGCGCCATCGGCGGTGGCCAGGCCAACTGGGCAGCACATGCACCGTGTGTCCACCCATGTGACTTGGGGGCAGGCCCACGCATGCATCGTGCACCCGGAGGCGGGGCCGTGCATCTTGGGGGCGGGCCTGTGCCTGTGCACCCGGAGGTGGGGCCATGTGCCCCAAAGGCAGCGCCGCACGCCTGGGTCCCAGGGCACAAAAATGGCTTGGGCTGGCCCTAGGCCTACCAAGCTCCTTTCTTTAATATAGGACTAAAAGGGCAGAATGGGAAGGATGTGTCATTGCTTTGTGGCTACCACAGCTCAGCTTGGTGTGTGTAACCCACTCATCTTCTGGTATGGTATGCTTGTCCAATCTAGTGACACTGAGACCACTTACAGAGAGAAAGAATGAGTCTGATCTACAGCCTTAGCTGAGAGCCAGCTGGTTTTTCACTCACGTGGCAGAGGTTCATGCACTAAGCTCCAGACGTCCCAGGTTTGATTCTGCCTGTCAGCATTACAGTTTCTCTTCAAAATAAAGGAAAAAAAAGAAACTGAATCTCACAAGCCTCCTGCCCATTATTTGGCTTCCCTTCCTTGGCAATTCTCCAAATCAGACAGATAGCTGGCTCTATTTGTCTGCAGGCGTGTAGTACTAAGGTGTTCTGCAAACACATTTTCCAGAAGGCACTCACCATTCATGTGAATCCCATTTCTAGCCTGTCCCCCAACTATCTACACTTCATGACTACCTCCTCGAGTTCTAATTACCCCAGACCTTCCCCCTTCTTCCTCCAACCATTTTCCACAGACATAGTGGTTTTTGTGACTTTAAGTCCGTTGTGGGGAATCTACAGTAGGTGGGCCAGATCTGGCCTGTATGCCACCACTGCAAAGCTAAAGCTGATAGTACCAGCTCACAGTGCTGGGGATGGGGAGCTCTGAGTCTTGGCGCCCCTCAGGAGACTGGACCCATGAGCACTGGCTTGTCCCACTGCAGGGGGAAGCCCCAAACCTCCATTTCTTCCCAGACAGGTGAGTGGCCCTTGATTGATTTTTTTTTCTGTGGGTCAATAGCTTGTGACAGAAAAAAGATTTTCACTCCTGCTCTAAGAGATAAGAATTTGCTAAGGACCACTGACTCATGTTCATATCTACTATGCTCCAGGCAACACCCACAGAGACAGTTGTTTCCTTGGAGGCACAGGCCTTCCCTCTGCTGCCTGGCACAGAAACTGCACTGTCCTTTTGGGCAATGCAAGATGTGTCCTTCTCTAAACACAGCCAGAGCTTTGATCACTGACCCTGTTCTGTACTTTTTTGGGGTTATTTAAGAGGGAGCAATTCCTACATTTCCCCCTAGGTAAAAAGACTCTGATATCCCTGGCCATTTCACATGGACACAAGGGATAAAGTCATATTGCATTCTTTCCAGTACAAAACATAAAGACGAAGGACTGTCTATCCCAAAGTCTGATACTCACTGACTTTTTACTATAGGTTGAACCTCTCTAGTCTAGCGCCCTCAGGACCTGATTGGTGCCAAACCAGAGAATTTGCCAAACCACAGGAGGTCAATAGTATCTAGTAGCATTATCAGCACTTCCACTGCTTACTGGGCTTTTAGAAGACATTTAGAGGTAAATTAGAGCTAAATAAAAGCAGAGAACACCAAGAGCCAGGACTGGTGGCTATAAACAAACAGTACGGGAGTAAAGAAAACTTGGGCACACCCATGATGAGTAGATATCTGGCTAACTAAAATAATGCCAGACCTCGGATGTTGGTGGACCAGAGTGCTGGGCTAGAGGTTCAACATGTATTGTTTGTTTGGTGCTCATCCTATCCAGGAACACTCATGGAACACTTCCTGCTTTCAGGAACACTTCCTGCTTTCAGAGCTGTGGTTCTCAACCTTTTTGGGCTCAGAGCCCATTTGTAAATGTTTATGGCCTATTGTGACCAAGTAAACAGTCTGGGGATAGAGGCCTTAAAATGGTTTTGGTTGGACCTGCCTGACAATCACTCCAAGGTGGCACTCCTGCAGCCAGTATGCTATGGGGCTGCCTGTGCTTGTCTATATACTCAGGGTGGGTTGTGGCATGCCTCAGGTTAGGCCCTGCCCCCCTGACTGGACCAAAATTGCGAGTGGAGTTGTGATCTGGCTCATGGGGCTGCAGTGTCACTCACTCGAATTTGATGTACCCCAACTCCCTTATCATGATGACTGGATCAAACCTGAGTGGGATTCCCAAGGTTGCAGTGACCGGAGAATTCAGCCATTTCTGTGGGACAGGAGCCACAAACATTTTCTAGCGACCCTGTTGAAATGTTCAACAGATTAAGTTTTGGGTCTCGACCCAAAGATTTAGAAGGTAAGATAGCCCTGATGCACTCATTCTCTCACCAGAATAGTTGACTATTTTCAAGACCAGTGCTAATGTTTCTCCATAAATTAATGTTGTGTTGCTTACAGACTACCCACATCATGGTCACATTATGCCAGCTGTCACACTAGAACGCTAACTGCATCATGTATCAGAGTCACAGGAGTCTTTCATTTCCAGAACTGAGGTTTCTGGTGTGCCGCCCCACTGCCTCCAAGCCACAGGGATCTGCATGAACTTCCCTTTCAAAAGTTTTCACAAACACTCACATTGCTAAGAAAAAATAGCTTGCTTGCATATTAAACTTTATGATATCAGTGTTGTTCTTTATCAGTTAGTATTCTTAGTGCAACAGGATCCGGGTCACTGTCTAAGTCATCACACTCAGTTAAACTTAAGAAACAGATGACTGAAATACAAGTCAAATTGCTTTTTGTGGATTGGTGGATGATTTTTCTTGATGGGGAATTACTACAAATTAATGTATGCAAGTGAGAATTTGCTCTCTGTTGTTAGCAACTTTTTATAGGTGGGATAGATTATTGTTTTAATGCTGAAGACTTGCATTTGACAAACAGATGATGTTTGCTATTGTCTAATTTCTTGTATGCTGTGATAGCAAATCTTTTATTTTTAAGCTAGATAGTCTCTATGTGCATACCATTTTTGATGACCATTGCTGGTATGATGGCCTCTTAAGGGACATTAACAATAATCTTTACTACGGTTTTGAATGTGTACCTATGTACAAGGTTCACTTCCCCCATCCCCCCACACTGCTGTATCAGAGCCAAGTAGCCTTTCAAGTAGGCTCCCTATGCGTACCAACATGGCGTACCAGCTCCCATGGAGTCACCTGTCCCCTCCTTCTGCTGCCTTTATAGCAGAGGTAGTAGGAGAGGAGTGGGAGAAGCAGGAGCCAGTGTGCATAGGGAGCCAGTAGCAGCACCTTGAGGAGGGGATCGGCAGTAGCACAGAGGTAACAGCATGATGGAGAGGAGTGATAGAGGCAACAGCATGAGGGGAGGGGTAGGCAGCTCCCCCATATGTAAATGTGTAACTGCTGAAATTTTCAGAAGTTATGTGTTTACCTACATAAATGCATTTTAACATCCCTACACTTTATTCCCCAACTGAGGTTCTTAGCCTTCTAAGCACCAGCTTAGAAGAACCATTGTATTTAGGACCTATCAAATCACTGGAGAGCACAGCAGGCTTCTTTCAAACAAAATGAAAGCTCCTTTAAAGTGCTTCATGAGAACAGAGATATGAGAGCAAGAGCAATTTCGTAATGGAGTTTATCTGTTGGGTGAAGATTTGGAAGGTGTATAACCCACAATTCAGAGTAATTTCCTGGCTAAAACAGGAAGTTCTTTGTTATCAGCTGGTGAGGAGGTGTGTTGCCCTGTGCCTGACACTTCACTGCTGATTTTGTGGAAGACATGACAGAAATCTCTGATGCAACTTTCTTTTCTTAACTTTAATTTTAGCCCTGTGTAAATTTGTTTTAAATGCTGAGCTTGCTTATTTTCTAGTTTGATAGTGCTATAGACCCTTCTGTTGTAATGATCTGAGGGTTGATAATTTTCTGGTAATTTTTTATGGTGATGATGACTCCTGAAATGAAGAATAGTCTCAAGATGGGGGCCAATACATAATGATAGTGCTGAATATCATTAATCAGGCTCCAGATGCAGGTGAATGTTAGTGTATCAATGTTAAAAGGAGAGGAGTTTTGAACTTCTGGATAGGCTATTTTGCCTGATTCTCTGCTCCACTGCAATTTCAATGGAGTTACCTGCTAGAACAGAATAGAAAATGTGACACCAAGCTTTTTAGTATGGAGAGGATTGAGATATCAACTAATCTGATTGCAGGAGAGGAGAATTAAGTCCCTGTATAAATGCCAAACTCTCTTAAAAACCAAAGCTCGGTGTCTGGTATTGCTTTTTTAGTGTGTTTATATGTGCAGCTAATAATTACCATTCTGAAAATAAATTGCTTGCTAAACATTATAGTGTACATATCAGTGATACTGATCCTGTCAGTTTTTGTTACATTCGGCTTGCTTGTCAGATATCCAAAAGATATGCTGCATAATCAGGTCCTAAATTTGCAAGGACTAACACACATGCTTAACTTTATGGTCTTATTGAACTCAGTGGGAATTTTGCCACGGAGTATGCCAAGGATTTCACCTAATGGATCTATTCCTGGTGCATAAAGTTAGCATGTGTGTAAGTCTTTGCAAGGTGGAGGCCTATGTGAGTAGCAGAAAGAATCAAATCCTATTGGCTATAGTCTGTTTTTAGTTGCACTGGTGTTAATCTGTAATAATTCTGCTGAAGTAAATGAAATGATGACTGACACTGGTTAAACAGAGAAAATTTGGCCTTTCAGTGTGCCTTTTTACATTTTTCTTCTTCAAGATATGTACTTTTCTCTTTCAGACTCCTGAACAGTACAGCCAGGCAGTGAACAAAAGCAACAAAGTTATCCTGTATTGTGCATTTCTGGACTATAGGTACATTAAGTGCTTCTGAATGTCTTAACTTTGATATATTGTAACTGGTTACTTATGGTAAATGTGACATAATCAGTGCATGCCAGACCCCTGACAAATATTCTCTTGTTCTTGTGTTCATGGGAAATATTAAAGCAATGAAATCAAAGGCTTTAGCACAAAACAGCTTCATAGTAAGAGAAAAAAGGAAGAGAAAATAGTTTCCTCTTACTGTAGATGGAGAAGCTGTCATTCTATTTACTGATTTCAGGATAAACCAGATAATTGAGAGAGTGAAAAATGTGGAGATGAACACATAACAGCCAATTCTGGTTAACCTTATGTTAGCCTTTTGTAAACATAACTCAGTTTGTCTGGAAACATGGGTATTGATAGTTGCTTCTGATGCAGGTTGCATACAAATGAAATCAGAATGCAGTGTACCATATGTACTTCAGAGCCGTGTCATGCCTGGTGCATATTCAGTGATAAAATTATATACCACTGGATACAAAGCAGGATAAAACTAAATATTGCAAGCAAGTATCAACAAAGAGTGGCTAATTTTTTCCTCATTTTGGGTAGCCAGGAACAGTGTATCTGATGCATTTGTGATTTCTAAACATGCTGTTGATATAGAATTAATAGTGAAATAATTCCAAATGGGACTTGAACAGGGCCTGATGGGTTTTTGAGCTCTAGCATCCTGAGCATCACTCAATGAAGCAGTGGCACACAATTTTGTGATACTTCCTCTCCAACTTGCATTTGGGCTAGATAAACCTAATTGTTTTATTAAAGTTATTGTGATTATGTTGTGCTGTGCCAGCTGTTTGTAGTCACTAGCTTGTACACTTACTCACAAATTATAATAAATTAGAAACATGTTTTATATAAGTGACTCAATATGCTTCTGGGCAGCATTCCCACAAGATGTGCTCTGGGGGATTAGACCTTGACTGAAAACGAAAGACAATAATGAAAATCCCTCATCCTAAAATGAGAGGTTTATTTACCTCAACACATTCTCTTTCTCAGATGTATGATTACTCCAATAAAAGGAATCATTTGGCATTTGTATAATAGGAACAATATTGATACAAATACCCAGCTGGTATAATTACATGTAGCTCAGTTGAAGTCAATGGACCAGTCTTCCCCTAGTGTAAATTGGCATATCTGTATTGAAGGCAGTGAACCAGATCTTTATATTGTGAATATCAGCATAGCTCCATTGAAACTAATGGGCCAGCAAATTGGCATAGATCTGGTGAAAATAGGAAACTGAATGCTGAATTTGACTCCCCACTCTCTCTTTATATTGTTGTTAGCCCCAAGTAGTTTTTTTTCCGACTTGATTTTGCCCTGTGATTGTTGAATTGATAAGAATTCATCAGCGAGGCTGATGCAAAATTAGCCCTTGATTTTTGTTTTACTATACACAGCTGTTTGCCACCCAGAGTAATATATTTTACAACATACAACCATTTGCCACTGAGAGTGCTGCAAACTGTTCATAATTCCAGGCTTAGAACATCCCATGCAATATGGTTTACTGTGATTTGCTGCCATCACCATTAAACAGTCAGCATTAACGATCAGTTATCATTCCACAGTATATCAGAAACCACAATTACTTCCTGTGCTAAGTGTGAGGAGAAACTGCTATATTTCAGTGGCTACTGTTAGTAACTTCGGATTTTGTAATGTACTGAAATTGGAGCATCAGTACTGAGAGCATGTACATTAGCTTAGCTATACTTAGGGTCCTGGATAATATGAATATTGATTACTGACTTCATAACTCACAAATGTCAATGCTAGGTACACTATTTATTTCTGGGCAGCTTTTTTTTTCTTGTTTCTTTCTGAAGTATTTTAAAACTTACATTGAAAAGCTGTTGTAATGTGCTTCATTCTTTGTACTGATAGTTGCATAGAATCATTCCTTTCTCTTTTAAAACAATCTATAAATTTGTCACAGAAATGTAGAGTTAAACTGCATATTTAGTATTACAGATACTTCATCAACATTTATAAACTGACTTACCAAAGGAAACCTTTGGTTTTTGTGCAGATATTTGCCTGGATGATTCTTAGTAGCTAAAGTTCAGAAAAGGGTTTATTAAAAAAAAAAAAAAAAGCAATTCTCCTGTTTAATGAAATGTATGTCTAATTAGTGCCAGGAAAGTTAATTTTAATATGGCTCCCTTTCCATTTCCTGTGTACTTCCAGCAATGGAAGTGCCATGTGGTCTACTGAAGGCTGTGTACGTGATGATGGGGATCTCAACTATTCAGTTTGCCTGTGTAATCACCTCACCAACTTTGCTATTCTGATGCAAGTGGTACCTCTGAAGGTAAGAGTAAATAAAGGAGTAAATCTGGGAGGTCAGTACTGAGCACAAACCCGTTCATCCACTATGAAATTCTTTTTGTAAATAGAACTCCAAATTAATCTCTTATTTATTTTTCACTTTCATCTGCACAATATATGACGGAGGGTGGGAAGGGAGAGCTGGGACCATTTTGCTCAAGTATCTAAGCTTTGTTGCAAAGTCCAAACCAAAGTTTGCCCTTTAAAGTGTTGTTTTTACATTTCTTTCTTTCCTTTTCTTTTTCAATGGAAATGGAATCTGGGATGAAACAGGCTTCAATCAATAGGAATCAGTATGTGCTGCACTTAATTCTCATCACACAGACATTATAGCCCTTGAAACACTGGGCAGGAAAAGCACTTATAGACATGCTCCATAGAACACTTATATAATGGTCAAGAAGGGCATAGGCTAAAAGATGAGCTAATAAGTCTTTTCCATCTCTAATTCTTTTGATTTAGTTTTAAGAAAGAGGACACGTGAGGTGTGACTATTTAGGGTTGGGCAATGAACCACATTCACTTACGTTCCATGATGCACCAGATGTTCTTTCCTCATCTTACTACAAAGTGAGGTCTGATTTGAGAAGAAACAGAGTGGGATCAAGAGTTGTTCAGAAAGAGGAGGATGAATATCCTTAGCTAACAGTTGCTCATTATATTTACTTGACCTCTGTGTTCCACAGTGTGACTATACAACTGTTCCTATCATTTTAAAAAAATTCCTACTCATACTACTGAATGGTTTCAGCAAAACATGTCCAATGCCAGCGGGCAAGGTGAGAACTCTCTGGTCAGATTTGTCTCTCCATTAACTTTATTTCTGAAATTGGTATACCAGGAAATATGATCCCTTAGAGGTTCATACAGAATTCTTTATTAGACCTGATAGCATGATATGTTCACTCTGAGGTAGTATGTCTGACTTATCTGTTAATTGGTATGAATGATGAGTTTGGTGTTGTTTCAGATAGTGGCTTTGGCCTGAGGCTGCTGGCTGGTTTATGAATGGATCAACATGCTCATGAGAACAGCACAGAATGTGTGCTAATGGAAACACAGTATAAATAAACTGGCAAATATCCACCTTAATTTAAAGGAATTTTAATCAGCACGCTAGTGCTAAAGAACATGTGAAGGTTTTCAGGGAATGAATGGCCCATAATGTAACTTGCCATCTCTTTATGAGTTAATGAAATCTTACTCTCAATATCTCTGTGACAAACTTAGTATAACTTCCTTGAAGTCAGAAACGGATTCTAGGATGGCATAGTTAATACAATATTTGCTTTTTCATTGTGTCTTTCCCAAAGAACTTATAAAAGCCTCAACACACTCTTGAATTATTATAGCTCTTTAACAGAGGAATGAAATGAGGCATGGAGTAAAGTAACTTGTGCAGGATCACATGGCTTCCATTGTGGAGATGGTTATTAGTTCTTGAAGTTAGTGAGTGAGTTGTTTATTTACAGGAGCACCTAGAGGCCCAGCTGATATCAGGGTATCTCTGTAAGTTCCCAGTTTTGAAGAGTTTGATACTTAAAGAGACAAATGGAACAAAGGATTGTAAAAATAAACTGTTATCATCCCTATTTTTCAGAGTGGAAACTGTGGGACAGAGGGAGGTGTGACTCTCCCAAAGTTACACATGAAGCCTGTAACAGAGCCAGGATTTAAACCTAAATATCCCAAGTCACACTCCAGTGCCTGAATTGTCAGACCAGAAGGAAGCAAATTAGTGAAAGAATTGGATGTAGCACGGAAGAATCTAATTCTCAGTTCCCCTGCTCTAGTTAGTGAGCCACATTTCTAATATATATATTTTTGTAGTGTTTGTTCAGTTAGTAAGTGTAGGTTCCCTTTACCATAGGAGCCTCTGACTTTTACTTGGAGGCTCCTTTGTGCTGCAGTCTGGCCCTAGTGACTACAATTCCCATGATGCCTGGGGAAAAAGGGGGGAAACTGTTGCTCTCTTCCAGCCAGTGCAGGAAGAGTGTTGGTGGGCTCCATTTTGGAGAGAGGAGCCAGATTGCTGCTATGGAGCCTTTTCCAGTCCAGGAGCTGCGGCTAGAAGCTAGAAACTGATGGGGCTTGGATCTAGCAGGCTGCTTCAGGGGCTGTTGGTAATTGTTCCTGGAGGTAAGAGACCCTGGCTGTGCTTGTGGCTAACAAGGGCCTGCATAGAAGGAACAGTGAATAACTGTGGCCGTTTAGGAAAATGTTGCCTGGGGTGGAGCACAAAAGGCCAATTTCAATTCAGGGGCCAGCCAGGTGGAGGTACTGTCATTGTATATTCCTTTAGAAGCAAGGGACTGCAGGAAGGAGTGAATAGGGGATCCTCAACTATCCATCAATCACCACTGGGATACTCAGGATCTCCTTTAACATTAAAAACATCAGATGAGCATTGCCTGCTCCTGTATAACCCAGGGAAGAAATAGACGGTTACCTAAAGAAATAATTCAGCCTCATACTCAAGTCATGCACCACAGACTACCCTCCCCATAGATGTGAATACGTTTGTATCCTCATGGTTCCCAATAACTATAACTATGCAACTCTGTGCAACTTGAACCATGTTCAACAGTTTTAGTTTGTTGATGCTAAAATGTATCATAATTGATATTATTCAACTAGTTATTCTGGGTATTATTATTATTATGGGTAGTATTGTGAGAATAACGGATTGTATTCTTGGAAATAGTTCTGGAAGTTCTAACATTTAAATTAATTGGCCAAACAGAATCCAGGATAGTTATGATTAGCCAAAAGTTGGAATAAGTTTTAATATTATGCAATCTTGGCAACTGGGGATCAAGCTTGTGCATTTTTGCCAAAGTTCTTGTAGTTGATCAAGCATGTACCATCCTAAGGAGAACTTAGTTACAGTGAATAGAAAAGGCTAGTCTCCATAGTCATGATTTTGTTTTCAGTATTTTGTCACTGGTTGTTGTTTTTTTCCTGGATGTTCTGTCCTAGTGTGTGGCCCATTGTCAATGTTTGCATAAGTTCTCCACAATTGTGTTACTGTGAAGTATTTTGTTTCCTTTTCTTTCTGTCTGACTGTTAACAATATAGCATAAATGCTCCTAAGATAATAAATGAATGAGTGGAATATTCAGGCCTAATCACTCTGATGCAAGGAAATCTTCCCTACATTGTAAAGGAGAATGTCAGAACTCTAGAAAATTTATCTGAATAGTCCTCCTTGACATTTTAAAAATATCTGATTCCTTTAGGCCCCTGTCGAATTCTTACATCCTCTGCTTCAGAATACAATTTCCAACAAAGGGCATGGAGTAATTCAATGGCTCCGCAGAATGAATGATATACTGGGGAAACTGAAAGGCATTGCCCCATGAATATGCATCTTTTGTGGAAACCATGTGCCCCTTGTACAAATCTGTGAGACTTAGAAATGTTTGCAGTGGTTCAGAGCGGGCAGGTGAATGATGAGCTGCCAGATGCTCATTCCTAACCTCTTCTGGATCATCCAAGGTACAGGCTTTGTTTCCAGAAAACACAGATTCCAGTCAGAGAGCTCAACGATGCCTTCACATGGTGCAAAATATGTCCTCTTGCTTTGGCATGGGTAAGTTGGTATGGGGAGTGTATCTTGAGACAGGACTCCCAGCACGCAGGAATGTGAAAATAGGGCAGTTGGGGAAGGCTGCCATAACTTAGACAAATGCCCCCTTCCTCCCAGATTGTCTTAATTACTCTGGGGGTTGCTGTAGCCCCAGGAGCATCCCTGAGTAGGCGTAGCTTAAAGCTGCCTTAAATCACTTTTCTTGCTGCACAGTGACTGCTGTGTGTTACCTCTGTGAGGCTTAGCACAAAATCCCATCCTAGAGCTCCAGAACTTTGACCAACGAGCTTCATTTTTAATTGACATTCAGAAATATTTGGTTTTTGTTTTTAATGAATTAGAAACGGATCATAGGTCCAGATGGGGATGTAAAAATAAAGGGAGAGAGAGGAAATCTGCACAAGCAAGGAAAACCATTGTGCTTGTCTTGTAACCAACTCAGGTACAATAAATGTAATTGTTTGCCTATATAAAGATATCTTTACATTGTGTCTGGAGTGAGATGATAAAGCAGACAACTAGAGAGAGCCACCTAGTTACTGAGCTTTATAAACAGGCAATGCTCAGCAATATCTTCCTAAGAAATTTCCTAAAAAGTTTTATCATGTGTCAAAACAAGAAAGCCTACTGGAACCATTAAATACCATAATATCTTCCTTTCTATTCGCTAGAAATCTGTCAGTGAATGATATAATACTGTGGGTTATAAATGTGTATAAATATTTATTCACCTTTGAAGCAATTTTGTGTTATCAAGTGCATGGGATATGGTGTAAAAAATGCTGTAATCTCCTGTTTGCATGACAGATTATTGAGGTTCCAAGGGAGTTGTTCTAGTCAAAATATGTGAGATGTTTGCATCTTTATAGAGTCTTTTATTTACCCCCTTCCCTCCACACCACTTACTTGGCTTGTGTATGAAAGAAAGAACTGTAGGTGACAGACAATAATTTTTTAACTAAATGAAATCTTTCCCGGAAAGTGACTGCTGTTCATGGAAAACTTTGATGATAACCAAATGCATGAAAAACAATATTTTTTTGGCTGAAAACTGAAATGTTTCCATTTATAATGGTGATGCTGTGTTTTATGGGAGTTTAGGTCAGGTTTTGTTTGGTCCCATTTTCTTCCATCAGCAGGACTCTCTGACCAGGTTACATCTGTCAGGACAACCTCCTCTCACCAAGAAATAAGAAAGTGGTACACCATGGGTAGTGTAGTTGGCTTGAAGTCAGGTATCCAAAATCTTTGGTCACTTTAGAAAATGTAAGACGACGCAACCTTTCCTTCTATGTAGTGATCTGGGGTTGTCACTTAGGAGACCGCACAGGCATGTGGTTGTGGGAGGACAGAGGGCAGTGAAAGGAGTTGGACAGATACAAGGGAAACTATGG